TTTTCATATTGCGTTTTTAAAAATAAATGTTCTCAATAAGTTTGAAGACTATGATGCTATAAGTACTAAGACGATAGTCTCCCATATCCTATATTACTTGAATCAATTTTGAAAATTCAAACATCCTATTAAATAAAATATTTTAAAAAATTTCGTTTCTATGTCTTCGGAAGATCTGACACAAGAAGTGAGTTGTTGGTTAATATCCTACATTTCACTGGACTTAGCTATATCAAGAGTTATAACCGTTTGGTTTCGATTTTACAAACCTATGGATCAAGTTCTTTTTAGAACTGAGCTCTCCTTATGATCTGGACTATAACTGATTTAACTATGAATAAATGTAACAAAATATATCACTTACTGTATAGATGTTTGCCCACTACTGCCATCATTTATTTTTAAAAATTATTCTAAGACGTCCGCAGGAAAAAATAGTCCGTACTCTTGGCGTGGGTGGGCTCGGATGCGCAACATTAAGTTTCAACTGGTGTTTCTTAAGGTCATGACTGCTGATTTAGTTTATGTAACATCCATCTCTACGTCTCCGGACTACATACTCTTTAGGGTTTTCAACACTACCCGCCAACCACGGGTCATTAAATCCAGTTGTATCCAACACAGAACGAGCCATACCCTTCTGATAATACGAATATCTAAAACCTGTAAAGAATACGACGGATAATAATGTGTATTGGGCTGAAAATAATTTGGAATAATTTTATTAAAGAAGATAGCAAAAAATTGTAATGAATACTATATTAAATAGTTGTAATGCTAACAAGACTAACCAAATTATATGCACATGCTGCGTCACGGTATAATTAATAAAGAAATATTTACAAGGTATGTGCAGGAAATAGAAGATAAGGTTTGTGGAAGCTTGAAACAGAAATACGGGACAGTAAAAGAAGAACTTTTTGGCTAAGTGTCTTCCTTGTCAGACAGGACAAAATAAGAAATAACAAGAAATAGAAAGTATTTAAGAAACCGTCAGTGTCCCCATATTCATGTATAGCCGGTCATTGGATAGTTCGAAAGAAAAATATTACAGAAGAGAGTAACAGAATGTATGCATTATTACTGTGAAAAATACGATTTTGGCGGAAATATGAAAAATATTTAGTTGAATTTGTTGGTCATGGAGTGTGTAGGACGTTGTTAGTAGAAGTCAACATCTTGTTATACTCTGAGGTTTGTACAAGTGGCCATCTTGTTATACTATGAGATTTGTATAAGTGGTCATCTTGTTATACTATGAGGTTTGTATAAGTGGCCATCTTGTTATACTTTGAGGTTTGTACAAGTGGCCCTCTTGTTATCCTATGAGGTTTGTCTCAGTGGCCCTCTTGTTTTACTCTGAGGTTTGTAGAGGTCGCAATCTTATTCTACTCTGAGGTTTGTAGAGTAACAATATTATTCTACTCTGAGGTTTGTAGAGTAACAATCTTATTCTACTCTGAGGTTTGTAGAGTAAAAATATTTTTCTACTCTGAGGTTTGTAGAGTAACAATCTTATTCTACTCTGAGGTTTGTAGAGTAACAATCTTAATCTACTCTGAGGTTTGTAGAGTAACAATCTTATTCTACTCTGAGGTTTGTAGAGTAACAATATTTTTCTATGCAGAGGTTTGTAGAGGTAATTTATCTTATTCTAGTCCGCAGCCAAGTTATTAGAACTGAAAAAACAGATATTCTTACTTCTGGATATGTTACACGGGTCGCTATGGCCGTTACATGTTTTGAGCTTAGTTATCCTTTTAATATTCATGAATGTGTAATGTAGCAACACCAGTGATTGTCAGGTTTTAAAAGCATTAAAGCCAGTAATCGCCTGTTAAGAAAATAGGGGTAGGGTGCCTTTCGTCATTTTCAGCACCCAGTTTCTCATCCGTAAACTTCAATGTTACAGATGTTCAGTGATCCTTGTCGAAGCCGTAAACTTCATTGTTACAGATGTTTAGTGATCCTTGTCGAAGTAAGTTTTTTTTTTTTTTAAACCAAGATATGTGTGCATAGTTAATGATGCACTCATGCGTGTCAAGAAAAAAAAAGTTGTTTTTTCTGTTAAAAGTTTAATTAACATCACGGTTTGCCATGTCTAAGACACGAAAATGCCACATCGCATTACGTAATGTTACAATTTTAGACAATGAAAAAAGTGGCTTCTAACAATGTATTTCCGCATTTATATATATAGCAAAAACAATTTGTATGGAGAATATTTCGTTTAAAAAAATGGTTGTAAAAACGTTTTCAACTAGGTAAGAACCACTAGGCTGGCTCACATTTTGATAAAAGTACCGAACAGCTGGGTAGAGAATGGACAAATGGAACATAAGGATGTTTTAATAATATCTTAAAGAGATTGGCCAGACTCCACGCCAGGATGTTCTATTAATAGTTTTCCACCATTAAATGAAAAAACCCTACTCCAAAATTTCTGCGTTTCAACATCGTAATGGAAGAAATGAAAAAAGTGTGGGGAGGGGGGGGGGAGATGGATTGTATCGATTATGAGATTATGATACAAGTCAAATTCTTAGAAATGTGTAGACTATTATACAGATGTACGTGAACTACTGAAAGGCTCATTGTCCTATAGCTGCCGTGAACGATACAGCACATTGCGGTTACATTTTAACAACAATAATAGTGAAACTTTTAATATCGTTCTTGAAAATAGCAAGCGTGGTCAGTTGAATGTCAAGGTCGTACACAAACTAACTTGTGCAGTGTACGCAAAACAATCAATGGCAATCCGCTTGGACAATTTATTGGTTGAAAAACATGTCGTGACATAAAAACTAATTTTTACAGTGCTGCACCATATGGAAAGGATATATCGCTGATATTATTGTGGTTAATATCTATAAGACTTGTGTGAGATTATTTTCTAATGTTACATCATTTATTTTATATCAATAAGTAAATAAATAAATGTATAAATATATATAATATATATATATATATATAGAGAGAGAGAGAGAGAGAGAAAGGAAGGAGAGGGAGAGAGAGTGAGAGAAAGAGAGAGAGAGAAAGAGAGAGAGAGAGAAAGAGAGAGAGAGAAAGAGAGAGAGAGAGAGAGAGAGAGAGAGAGAGAGAGAGAGAGAAAGAGAGAGAGAGAGAGAGAGAGAGAGAGAAAGAGAGAGAGAGAGAGAGAGAGAGAGAGAGAGAGAGAGAGAGAGAGAAAGAGAGAGAGAAAGAGAGAGAGAGAGAGAAAGAAAGAGAGAGACAAGAGAGAAAGAGAGAGAGAGAAAGAGAGAGAGAGAAAGAGAGAGAGAGAGAAAGAGAGAGAGAGAAAGAGAGAGAGAGAAAGAGAGAGAGAGAGAAAGAGAGAGAGAGAAAGAGAGAGAGAGAGAAAGAGAGAGAGAGAAAGAGAGAGAGAGAGAGAGAAAGAGAGAGAGAAAGGAAGGAGAGGGAGAGAGAGTGTGTGTGAGAGAGAGAGAGAGAGAGAGAGAGAGAGAGAGATAAAGTCGAGTTCATCTTCTCTTTACAGTTACGCCATAAGGAAAGGTTATTGGTTACATGTAAAACTTAGACCCGGAAGTTCTTTCATATGTCAAGGCGTCCTGCCATAGACCATTGCAATGCTCAGTTCGCACGATCGAATTTTCGTCCAATTTCTTTTTCAGGGAACTACTTAGTTCAACAAAACAGTGCGTTCAAACGAAATTTGATGAAAAGTTGATCGTGTGAACTGGGAATAAGGCAAGCATATATGAAAGTAAAATTTAGCAAAAATGTTATAATTCAAGAATCTCTCATTCGCTAGACTAGGTGGTTGGCTTGTGAACAGTTGTTTGTTTTCTTTGGGAAGCTTTGATAGTTCATAATAATCTAGTAGAGTTTGATCTCCTGATTTTCCCTTAGGATGGCTTGCGCTTGACTCTGGGAAAGTCAACATCACTTTGCTCGAGGTGGTGTTACACGTAATCTGCCTCTTCGTGGCGTAGGAGACCAGTACGGACATGCTTCCGGAAGCCAAAGATCACACACTGCTCGTACGTCCTGACCGGAAGACCCACTGAGCTAGGGGGGTGGGCGACGCAAAACACTCCTCCACTGGGAGGAAGATATTTTGCTCGAACTAATATTACTTATGACATGTCCGATCTATCATTTACGCAGGTTCGACTTGGGGGGATTGGACACGATCCTTCCCCTCCAACCGTGGCATCCTTAAAAAGCCCTCGATACCCACTGTTGGGAGACTGGGTGGGACCGAGTAATGCTACAGGTGTGGTGCGTGGACTGCATCCTCTACCCGCGGATGTCCCTTTGGGGAGGGCGTCCCCTCTCACACGTGTGACGCTCGACAGGCGCATGCGAGGCCAACAAGCGACTGTTCGAGGTCGAAAAGGTGGCACGGGACACCTTAAACATTCCTTGGTCGTGCTCCAGTTGAATGTGTGTGGTATCAGGCAAAAGTCACACGAAGTAACCAAACTACTCCACGAACACGGAGTGGATGTAGGACTGTTCCAAGAAACGATGCTTCACGGGAAGCCGTTTCATATCACTGGTTACTCGCTATACCATTGCAAGTGTGGTCGATGCCAAGGCATTACCACAGCGGTTCGTAATGATCTCACGGTGGAGATCATTTAGTGCAGACGTTACGAGAATACTGACACTCTATCAGTAAAAGTCTCTAAATGTGGGAAAACGTTCGCCGTGACGAACATTTACAATTCTCCAAGCAATGTGATCACGATCCCTACCCGCGGGGAGACGATCTTTAAACGGACTATAATTGCAGGAGATTTCAATGCCAAATCCCCCATGTGGGGTTATCCGGAGCGAAACGGCTCCGGTAAGCACGTGGAAGAAGTCTGTCTCGAGAACATTCTTATCAGGCTTCAGGACGAGAAGAGTGTGCCAACT